CACGACCGGCGGGGGCGGGGCTAGTTCACGCGTGAATGCCGGGGGTTGCAAAGGGGCGTCGAGGGGTGCGCCAGCGTCCGGGTGAAGACTGGTGGAGAGTGGAGAATGGTGGGGGACGCAACCGCCGAGTCCGCTACCGGCGATAGCGAGCGGTGAATTTCCTCAACGGACGTGGATGACGCAAATGCCGAGTCCACCCCCGGCGATGGCGAGCAACAATCCTTCTCGTCAGAAGTGGCCGGTAACGACACACTTCGTGCTCCCCCCTGAATCTCCCACAAGCTCAGCTTGTGATCTTCCACGATGACCGGTTTCTAAAGAAGATAAATTTGTTAGAGATGCAGAGGCGAATGGCCATGAACACTCACTATGGGGTAGTGTTCCACTATACCATAGAAGACTTCTATGCGATGTGTTGGCTCTGTTTCGCGCGAGAAGGCTTTGACACAGTCGAAGATGTTACTAAGCAGGGCTACCGCAACGGCAAGACCAGACGGGAAAGGGCCGGCTTCACGGAAATATTCGTGAACAAACCAGTCGGTGTGAGTCTGGCGGACCGACACTTCTACGGTATGAGCGATTCGGATTGCTGTTCGCTTGGCAATCTCGAGAATGCCGTCATGATCGTTTTCGGGGACGCAGTGACCAATTCGGATCTCGTCACCGGGGATGTCGATGAGTACGACTATCCAGTCACCGCGAATACGCCACGGCAGGCAGATGACGCTGTCAGTAGTAAAGTCGCCACGTGCCGCGAGTCTGCCGAAGAGGTCCAGCAAGGCTACCGGTGACAGTTGCGTCACGATAGCGGAATAGATGTGGAAAGGGCGGGGGATGACGTGGATATTATTCCTCACGACAGCTACGACTGCGTCCATCAAGTCGTCATTGAGGTCGCAGTCGTCGGTGGTCAATTGCGAGAAGAGGTCGCACCAAGGGTGGAGCAGCGCCGGCAGCTCTAGAATGGGCTCAAGGTCTCTTTCGATGACTTCTGTGTTGACGTCTTCCTGTCGTCCATATTCGCTGACCCACTCCATTCCACGCTCGACGTTGGACCGAACGGTATGGACGTTACGCAGGCGTCGCCACAAGTCCAATAACCAGAGGGGTAGCGGAGTGCCGCGATCGCCGGGATGGATTGCCGAGCGGAAGGTGCTCGGCAATGCTCGGACAATATCCACCTTCGGTATTGGAACGGAAGTGGCGGTGGAGTAGTGGTCTACGAAAAAGACCCACGGTGGCAGACTTTCGGCGGCGACGGGTGGGGCGGTTGAGTACGAGATGGGGCTTCCGGATGCCCAGGCCCGTGGGGCTACTCCAGAGCAGAATCGCTGGTTGAGAAGCTGGCGTACAGTTGTGGCGTCCGAGGGACTACCTGTTGGATCAGCTTCTTCGGTGCTGTCTTTGTCTCCCAGTCGGCGAAAGACACGTCGAGGATGTCCTCGTACTGTGCAGGTATTTCGGCATCTACAAACAATTCAGGAGTGTTGGCAGACGTGGCTTTGCCGACACGTACCGTCGACCGGTGATGGAACTACAATGGCCGGGGTATTAGATTTGGTTGTGGAGCAATACAGCTACACGTTACCTAGAACTCGAAGGCTATATTTCGTTGTCATTCTTGCAGTGGCGTGTGTTGAGACAGAGGGGAGGTTAAAATTGTGCGAGAGGGGTGAGGAGGAGCAGATGAATTACGTTTGGTTCGACTGGCGGCAGTGCCTAACTCCGCGTGTGATCCCGATACAGATCGGAAGACTGTTACGTCATCAATGGCATGTTGAAAGACGTGGCGTCTGTGTTCAAACTCTCCCACTTCCAACCACCGAGTTGACAACCCGCACACGCGCCTCTACCTTATCACCGCGTCGCACAGTCTCCCTCCATCACTACCGAACATCTCCCGACATGTCCGCCACGCCCTCCACGATGGAAATGCTGACAGTGTGCCGCGCCGCCACGAAGATCCACTACGCACTCTGTCGCCGTCCGAATCAGACCGACAAGGGCGAGAAGTTGGCAAACTGGTTCAAAAACTTCTTCGCCGCGCTCGACAGCGCGTACGACTTCCAGGCAGAGTACAAGTTCAACACCTGGCCGTGCTACACCCTCGGCGCGTTCTACGAGTACGAAAAAGGCAGGCGAGTCAAAGAATACAAGGCGTCTCCTTTCAATATCGTACCCATTGCCGACACCATGGCGCCAAGAAGGCTGGGTACGACTTCGATTTGAAGATCGTCGGTAATGATCACGGCGACATATGGGTCCTCCCAACCGATGAAATTGACCTCGGCTGGTGTTACGACCGTAAGTGTGCGATTTTTTAAATCCTCTTTCAAATTTTCTGAATGCCGGTTTGAGTAGACGCGACTGTCACGAACGCGCCCACATCGCAGGGCAAAAACGTTGCCACTGAAGGTGCGCTATCAATTTTCTTCTCTCCTGGTCTAAGCCGCTAATGATGCATTCTAGGCGCTAAGAAGTTGGGCGGCACGAGGTCCGGAAATGCGAAGAGTGCCGGAAGTGCCACGATTGCCGGTGGGTCGGAGACTGCCGGTGGCGAAGAGACAGCCGGTTCGTCGAAGACCACCGGGGCATCAAAGACTGCCGGTGCATCCAAGACTACCGGCACGCCGAACATTTCCGGTCTTCCGGACACTTCCGGCAACACGAACGTGCCCGAGAGTTCCACCACCGGCACGACTCGGAACAGCACGGTCAAGAGGTTTCACGCAAGGATGTCCAGGACCACTAAAAGTAAGTCCACGCGAAGATCGCTCATAGTAGATCTAATTGCGTTCTTCAGAACCTGCACCAACCGGGAAGGCGGGGTGCGTACAACACTCTGTATACGTCACAGATAGTATCATACTGATTTTGTACCAGCAGTCGTAAGACGAACAAAGACAAGAAGGGCAAGGGTCGGGCTACGGCCCAGCCGACCACCGACAATGAAGTCGGCGATGCGGCAGAGGAAGATAATGACGAGAGTGAGGAGGATATTCCTATCGAAGGTATATATGGTTCCCATCGGCGACCCTTCTAACAATGAAAAACTAACGCCCGATCAGACGTTCGCAAAACCCGGAAGAAGGTCGTGACCTTCAAAGACCCCGACACTCCGGCAGCGCCGAACAAGAGGAGGGCCCCATCCAGAACGCCAGACGAACGGAAGAAGGCGCCGACGACACAGCCCAGGGCCAACACCGGTTCTCCAGATGCACCCCCGATCAAGGACGACGAGGACGCCACCACGAAGAAGAAGGTGAAGAGGGTAACTCGGCCGAAACACCCTGGGAACATTGCGCCCGAACCCAACTTTGAGCCCTTCCCGAACCACAAAGATCGGATACCCGTGGGGGTCATTAAGAAGGACGGGGTAAGCCTGCTAAGCCCGATATCTCATTACCGACCTCACCGATGATTTGATTTACAGCCGAATCAGCACCTCCGTTGTGAGCGCTGCAAAGCCGGCGGTACCGACTGCCGGTTCTTCGTCTTCGACGGGACATACTGCTGTGGCTGCCGAGTCAAGAAGGTGGCCTGCGAAAACTCGCCAATCGCGCACGGAAAGCTCGCAGCTGCGGCATACCGGGCGTACCGGGCTGCCGTTCAATTGGCGAACCCAGCGAGGTATCCGGATCCGGTTTTGCTCTCCCGCCTATTGTTGGGTCTACAGGACTGCGACATCGTGAACTGGTTTTTTGACTGGTTCTGGGACTTTTACGAGCTGAACGACGAGGAACGCGACAGGAGGATCGCAAACTCGGCATACCATCTCGAGCTCCATGTGGAGGGGTGGACAACTCCGATCAAGAGAATTCCCGGTGATGTCGAGGTTACCAAGGTAATTACGATTTCCGTCAACGTGTTCATGTCTGCTAATGATGTTTTAGGACTCGGTTGATTATCCGAAACCTCGCAGGGAAAGAAAGTCTGGCAGGGGCAACAAGTCTTCTCACACCAGTATGTATTTTTTTGTCCGGAGTGCTGGGTCCTGATTACCTATACTATAGCAGAGGAGGTCGTCGACACTGACGCGGAGATGACGGAGGCCGAAGGAGGTCAGTCCCGCAGCGCCGGTATATTGATTACTGGCTCTGCGATAGTTCCATCACCGCTTGCTCGGTGCTCATCCCTTCGGCTTAGACGACCGTGGCTCTTCCGAACCGCCTGCCAAGAAGAGGTGCGTTAACGGAAGATCCAAGTCCGTTCCATCAACGCACTCTCACGTGCGTCCTCCATCGCCGGCATTGGATCCGCGCAACCAGCCGCCTCCGCCACCTGGTATGTCCTTTTTCTTGCAACCTGGTGTCGGCTCATACCGCGCCAGGTTTCGACTTTCGAAATGTTCCATTGACAACTCGCGTGCCAGTGGACCCCTTGCGCGACTTCCAGCCTGAATCACATGTGGCCTTTCCCACAGTCGAAGCCACTATGCGCGCGATGCAAGCCCAGATGAACGAGATGGCGCGCGAAATTGCGATTCTCAGAGCGGCCATGATCCCCAGTAGGTCCCATTTCCTTGGCCCATAACAGCATGCTAATAGAGCGGCGGTCTAGATCAGTCCGGTAATGCCTTTGCCGGTGGTCCGTTCATGTGGCCGGCAATCCCGAACGGTGCGTCCGGCAATGATTGCTCACCTGCCATGATGGGCTGATTACATTTTGCCTAGTCAACCCGTTCGCCCAGTATCAGGCTGGGTTTTCCGGCCACGGTGGGGACGAATACTCACACAACGGCATGTACTTCAATCATCAAGCCCATGCTGCTGGTCTTTCCGGTGCCAATCAGCGGGGAGTACCGCAGGCATATGGAGGCATCGCCGACGTCAACCAATATGGCATCCAGAACGGCATGCAGTCCGCCTCCCCTTCTGGTGTGTGATGGAATTTTGGTACGCCTCACTTTCATGCTAAGCATTTTCCAGGTTCTACCCCCTCTTTGGGTATGGACTGGGCCGAGATCCCTGTCGCCGCTAGTGCCGGCAACACCGGTCAGTTCGGTAATGGTCCGCTCCACGCTCCGGCGGTGTCCGGCAATGGCACTGGTGGCCTTGTCCCCCCAGTTCCGACCATCTGGCCCGTGCCGGCACTGACCATGGACGACGGCCGTCGACACAACACCGCGGGAACGGTTTTACCTCCTGCGGGACCTGTCGGCACCACCCCCAAGGCCGACTCCCCTTCTCCGCCTGCTGTTGCCGTCCCTCTCCCGGTCAATGAGCTTGGTGCGAGTACATCGCCATTTTCCCCAACACCGCCACCGCCGCACGATACACAGGACGGCAAGACCTCCGAGGCCGACGGTGGCGAGGTCTCGAAGACAGACGCTCCTGCCGCCACTTCTGAGGAGCCTGCGACGGCCCACATCGAAGACATGGAAGCCAAGTCCGATGCCGGGAGCGATCCTGACGCCGATGGACAGGACGAGCTGGGCCCCAATGCCGAAGTGGAGGGTGAGATTCGTGTCGGTATTCCGTCGGTAAAGGAATCGGTAACGTTGTCCCAGGAGGCCGGTGAGGAGCAGGACATGGACATCTCCGCTTGAGTAGTCGTTGCTCCGTTGTACTATATATATTGCATTCTCTCCTCCTGGTGTCTACTTAATATCGAACGTTCATTAAAAAACGTTCACTAATGCACTCTGTTCCATGCGCGATGAATGCGGTTGTGTCGGCTGATCATTGTCCAACCTTTCAATTTCTGAGCGAGAATCCCGAGGACCGGATGTCAATACCGAACAACATGGAACGTTCCCGGTAACAGTCCCCATGGAAGGCACCGTATGTGTACGGCCGTTCCGGTAACGTTATGTATGGCCGGTAGCCGATCCAAGGGCATTGCCCTGCCCTTTGCCAACTCTGTCAAACTCTCAGCATTGCACGGATACATGCACGGCCTCTTCGGCATAGAGGCATGTCTTCCGACGGCCTTCGGCTCACCTCCCGTTTGCGCTGCACTACGGGTCGGACCGTGCCTGTGCCGTCTTGCCAGGCTTGCCGAAACACTCCATGTGTAACAACGTCGTCCACGGGCGCTCCTACGTCCACGACGTCCACGGGCGCCTCTACGTCAGTGGTTCTGAGCACGTTATATGCACTCCACCAGTATAAATATTGATTAAGAGGTTTTTGGATGACATGGGCCAATGCTTTAGTGCCTGTGGCAAATTCTAGTAGCCATAGCAAATAGCGTTCACCGCCTACGAGATATGTCATAGAAAAATGACATTGGTATCACCATATGCTGGCACACTCCCAAACGTACGCAGAGTAGCGGATAGGCCCAGTATTATATTGAGCTAACGTCTCCGGGTAATATACACCGCCCTCGACCCCGCCAATATACGCCAAATATACCAATTGTTTTCTTTGCAGTAGAGATGCACACACCATGGCTGTCCTCACATTCAGGCGACCCTGGTGTGAAATAGCGAGTTCAACACATTATAAATTGCCTTGAGAACCAATGTCCCCATTTTAAGGAGCATCTGTACAGAAATGCGTGTTGTATTGCGTTTGTTTTTATTTCAAAACATACTCAGTACTGATGGCCTCACGAACTATTCCATATATCGAACAATGGCAACATGTTTCCTTGGATAGTATGTACAATATGCAGCAAACATTTTGTCAAAAGGCTTCGAACTCGCGGAGATATGCGATTGGTGTCGACGAAGTGCTTTGCCATAAAGACGTCGGGTTTCCTCTCCTGTTCACTCCCTCAAACGCAACAATGTGCCATATATCACCGCACAGTGCTCTGATCGCCGAGATTTTTGCGGCATCGGAACACTGTGGCATGTGTCTTACAATATCCAAGGTTATACGCATCCCTCTGTGTTGACACGCAGGGGGATACCACAATTCATGGGTTTTGAACAAAGGTCAGGAAAAGAACGCTTGGAGCCATTAGCGATGTCGCGTCTATTCGCCGGTTATCTGAGTGCGGTAGAGCCCTAGTGGCATACGGCTGAACACATACCGATTTTCATATATGTTTATTACCTATCTGCAAGCAGTACAACCATCCCACCACGTTAGAAAACGTTTGTGGGAGGTGAGATCGTGTTTGAGAAGCTCACAGTCGCTCCGACAGCAACATCAAACCTTGGTCTACCAAATTGTTCCCCCATTCATGCTATGGAATTTATACGGTGAAATGATTTGAATGAGTACGTAGTCAATGACCTCTGTACGTGTTGAATGTGTCCTCCCTTCATGTGTTCAAAACTCGAGAGGGCGCAACACCCTGAGCGTGCAGGCCGACTGCCGAGAAATGCATTGCCGGGTTTATCTTGCACTTCCGATATTACCGGATTTGATTCTTCCGGTCGCAGTTTGAACGGCGGCGGTTAAGCTCCAGTCGGCAACCCTCAATGCCGGAGTTGACCTTCATTTCCGGGTCCCAATATATTCTCTATCTCATCCAATCGTGACCGGCCTCGTTCACGATGCTACAGATAGAAGGTGGCTCAACGCGTTATCATAATCTGTTGGCAGACTCATGGCATGCTCGTCGTCCTTCTTGCACTCATGTCGAACGACAACTGTCGACCAGGGAGTAATCTCCACATCCTCATTCTCAACACCATGCAAGAGGCTTTGGCGGCACGTCTGCGATACAATGCAAGTGATAATGTTCACCCCTTTCGCGAGGTTCAGTCTCCTGTTGGGTTGGATCACCGATTATTTGCTGCCGTTCTTCAAGCTGCGGATCGGATTCATGCAGCGTGCAGCTGCCAATGTGAGAGTCGTCTTATATTACATGCGCGTACCTGCGACTGAAGTTGGGCTAGATAACGTGGACTGGAAGCTAGAGGAGTACATGAATATGACTCCGAAGACCCGCGGTGTAGCCACGGAGCAACAGAATGACCAACTGAAACAGGCGTTTCCGGTGGATCTGCCGGGAGAGTCCGGTGTTCCACCGGCAATCCATGTCCCAGCTACCATCGCCGATTCTGACGGTGTCATTCTCGCATGGATTCTTCCCAACCTCCTCCCAGTGGATATACAGGTTTGTAACATCGAGACGTATATTAAAACTTGCTAATCAACATCCATTCAAGACAGACCTGTGGCGGTCAACGGACGGCCTTGCTCCAATTCTTGACAAGCCATCACCGAACACCGATTCGTGGCGTCTCTGGAAGGAGAACTTCAAGCACGACAAACACACACTCTGCGGTCTTCTCAGTATCGCACCGCAGATGGTTCCTCAAGGAGTACGTACTCTGTAATATTTGGTTGGAAATACTAATGAATTTTCGCAGGGACGAAACGGGCCAAAGCCCTCGAAGGGCTTTGCTGAGCGTGAAGTGCAGGAATGGCTGGAACGCATTACCGAAGTCGGGGCTATCCTCGACGCGGTGATGCAAATCGTCGCTCCAACGCAGTACCGGCAGATCACGGAATTCCTGAACGAACATGTCGCCCCACACATTCCCTGGCCGGTCACCGGGATTGCACTGCAAATTATATGGAACCGGAAGACCACCTATCATCGCGACCAGAATAGCTTCCATTTGTGGTACGACCTCCTGGTCACTGTTGGCAACTACGGTGACCAGGCATACCTCGGACTGCGCGGTCTCGGTTACTCGGTCCCATATTCGCCTGGCACTGTAGCCGTTATATTGGCCAAATACGTCGAGCATGGAGTGCCCGAAGTGCAGGATACTCGAGTCGCGATTTCATGGTACAATCGCCGGGAGATGGTCAGGGTATGGGGTGGGAAGGAGATGTCGACGACTGCCGAATCAAATGTTCAGTCGCTGATGCGTTCGGTAATGGACTCGGTATTCGCTCGTGGACTCTGAAACTTATCTGACATGCTGGAACTCATCATCAAACACGCATTACAGCGCAGCTAGGGACATGTATCACAATGAAAACCGTCACTGGGTCTTTGTACGCTTCCGAAGTTGGCCACCCTCGCCGGCTGTCCCTGACCTTTGGCGTGTTGTCCGCTGCCTTGCCCCTGTATCATTGCCGGATGAACCACCTGGCGCCTGCTTCGGTACATCCACTGCTCTGGTTGGCGGAGTGGACGTGATCTTGACTCCCGCCGCGAGCCCCGCGGCAGTGACCTGGACTGCACGTGTGGACCGCCGCTAGATAAGCCACATTAGCGCACCGGTTATGCCGAGTGACCGTGTACTATACCGGTGGTTGTTGAAGCTGCTTGGGCGCAGCCCCCGCAACCTTCGTGCCGGTGGTTCCCTCGGTTTCGTCGGTTGTTCCATTGCCGGGCAATGTCGAGGAGGATGGTCCAGCACCTAGAGAGATTAGCGGTGCTGGTTATAAGCCATGAGACATTGTAGCCCTTATTACCGAAGCACTCACCGTTGTCCGCAGCTTTCCCCTTCTTCTTCACTGGGCGTGGCATCGGACCGGTCCGTTTCGGCTTCCACCCAGCTTCGAGCGTCAGCTCCATCATATCGCAGAGGACATTCATGCGCTCGGGGAAGGATCCTTTGAGGAGATTACCTGCGCCGCAACGCAATAGTGTCAAGGCGCTCTGCCCGAAATCATCTCCGCTGTCGAATTCCGGCGGAGGGGACTCTTCTCGGAAGTCGTTCGCTTGACGGGAGTCTCGGGCGAGGAGTCCGAACACCAAGCAGATCCTTTGCACCGAGACGCGGTCAAGATCCTCGCGGACCGATTGATCGCCGATCCAGTCGAGCAGTCGGACCACCTCTTGTGCGTCGTTGTAGAGATCATGGCCAACAAACCCGTGGACGTTAGCCCATGTTGCCCACGGAGCGGCTGGAATGGGTGGAATGTCCACCTTCGTCTCGAGCTATGATAGTGATATTATTATTATGTCTTCGGCACTGAAGTCGCCCACTCACCGCCTTGGCTACACGGGTCAGGAGGTTCTGGTACTGCGTCTCGGCGCACAAGCTCTCGAGGAACGGGACGACCCCGCCGGGTTTGACACCATACGGTGCCGGACGCTCCGCCGGAAGTACGGTTGTTCGACGCACAACCGGCGAACGGAGGCCTGACGGCGGTGGTGTCCTCACGTCGACGTACCCTGGGCCGTCATAGTCTTCCGACGCAGCAGTGGGTGTCTCGTCAATGCCGGTGTCCTCGAGCGACTTCCGAACCTCATCGCCGTCGCCATCCTCGTCTTCCTCCTCGTTCTTCCGACCCTCCTTGTCACTGTCGGTATCGTCCCCGGACTCGTCGTGATCACCATCACCAGATTGGAGCTCTTCGAACTCGTCCTCTTCTCGGTCCTCCTTATCAGCCTCGTTCTCGAAGAAGTTGTCGTTCTCCTCGTCGGAGGAGGAGGGTCCCTTCCCTTTGCCCTTGCCCTTGCGCTTCGCCATCTTGCCCCGTTTACGACTCGTACGCTTCCCGGTGGAATACTCGCCATCCGTGTTCCTCTTGGACTTGCCGCCCCGCCTAGACTTTTTGGACGGACCAGCTTCGGCACCGTTTCCGGAAACGCTCTCGGTAACGTCGTCCACATACAGTGCTCGGTACTGACCGGGGATATGATCAGCGGTGGGCTTGTGCAGTCCGCGCAAGAGGTGAAAGCGGCCCTCCGGAACTTGAAACACCTCCCCCGGGCCAGGCTCAGCGTAATCTTCCGGTGCCGGCAATGACGCCTCTGTCTGGAGGATGTACTGGAACCAGTTATTCTGAGCCTTGATCGACATCTTGCTCATGCAGTCGAACTTATCCTTGAATTCGGACGTTAAATAGTCTTCTGGGATGTACTTTTCGAGTTCCGGTTTAATGGTGCTCCATGGGACAGAGTTGAGCAGCACACCGTCCCCAGTGGCAAGGCCTATCACCGAGACTTAGTCGGTAATACACTAGAATTGTGGTTACTGACTGAGATGGAGCCGGAAAAAGTCGCAACCGTGGGCGTAAACTTCTTTGCTCGTCATCTTCTTGCCATTGTGACTAGAGTGAAATGGCTGCGGTAGACCGTACATGTGTTTGAATGCCACGGTGGATGAGCGATCCCGCCGTTGCCGACGGAATAGGTTTTGGTCTCTGAGCGCCTGTGTGTTCGGCAATAAGCGGCAATGAATCGTAAATGCGCAAGACCTTTACCGGAGGGTCGGCATCACCGATCATGCCGAGCAGCCTACTGAAGGTCTCCAAGCAGGCCACCTTCGTGTTCGTGTCCCAGAGTTGGTGCTTTTGCAAGGCGTCGGCCGTCTCCATGTACTGTGTGGTGTCGTCGCTGCCGACTGATTCAGTACTCATGAAAGGGATTAAGGGATTTCTTTACAAATGCGTATTGACCTGACCGCCAATAGCTGGGCGGGTGGTGTATACAAAGACCGCGGCACCACAAACGCGGAACATGAATTTGATGAACTCTTCGACGATGTGGACCATATTCTTGTTTGCGTAGCTAAAATATAATCAACACCGACAGTGGCACACTTGCAAACGCATCCATACTCTCGCTGAAAGTCCGGAGGCGGTGGCTTCGTGTTGTACTCGGCAGCCAAGTCCAGCCACTCCTCTTGCTCCTCCTCGTCAAGTTTCTTCCACATCTCCGCCGCCTGGCTGTTCTTCATGCCAAAACTGGCGTCCTTGCCCGCCTTCTCCTCAACGTCTTTGAAATGCTTACTGTACCAGAGGCCGCGGCCGGTGAACAGCCTGAGACCGCACCAGTCCGGTGTTCCCTCCTGGCGGTCGGCAGTGTGGTTGCTGAACCACAGCGAACATTTCTACGCAGATTAAGAAAAGAGTTTGTGTCGAAATCACGTAGGGACTCACCTTTTGCACGAAGCCCGCCAAGAACGGGGTGTCAAGCCCCCGCCGCTGCAGAAAGACCTCCACCAAGTTTTTCTCGATTGTCCGGCGGGTTGCCGTCTGTGCAGGCTTCCACTTCTCTATCCCTTTTCGCATCTCCGAAACCTCGGAATTCTTCCACTGGAAATCCGCAAATGGGTCTTCGGGAACGTTTTCGGTAGTCGACATGGTGCAAGCAGAGTGAGAAAGATGGTGGAGTGAGAGATCTAGGGAATAATTGATGCGTCGAGGACAGTCAATCCATCTCAGACCCGGAATTTTTTGTATACATTTATTTGGTCCTGTTTCAACTCAGCGAACAGTAGGAGTATATCTCTGCCGACTGCTTGATACCATCGATATCAGTGAGCTTTCCCCTCACTCATCTGTCCTCTCGCTCTCCCATCATGCCCCTCGCCAACCCCCAGCAAGCTCGAGTACTCAATACTACAACTTCGCAAACATATTACACAAAGGACGGCTCCAGGCGCACAAAGAAACGCAGGATCGACCCAGGCCCGCCGGTTTACGCACCGGCCGGCCAAGAGGACTACCGGAGCGGGCCCTCACGAGTGCCGGATCCGACACCTCAATCAGACACACGTGACGATGAAACCACTTGGGAGATGCCTGAAGTTACCCAGCTGGGGCCCGGTGAGAAAAAGTCTACATACAAGGCAATTATCCTCGGCATTGTCTGGCTCCCTGCGCTGACAGTTCGTGTAGAAGCAAGTGACCATGCACGAAGAATGGTTACCTCTGGCCCCATTGTTCTTGCGAAGACTCATAGAACGTTGGAAGCCGGTAGACAAAGAAGACAAGTGCAAATGTGGTGGAATATTGGCCTGGCGTTGTCGAACGTGCTTGGGTCTACCAACGTTCTGTTCCAAGTGCTGCAGGCAGGCACATCTCCACCTAGTGCACCACCGCGTTGATGTGTGGGATGCCGATCATTGGCGGCGTGCATCGCTATTTGATCTTCGGATGCAGGTACATTGCGGTCATGATGGCGAGTTATGTCCGAACCTCACTGCGCAACCTCCTGGGTCCGTACCGGAACTAAATATACTGCCTATTTCTGACGACTTGGATTCACTCGAGCCACCTGAGGACGCTGCTGATCGTCCAATTGACGAATATCCTGAAGAACCAGAAGAAGAGGATGAAGAGGAGACGGTAGTCGACGAAGATGCCGGCATTGGGTCCAATGCCGGTGATATTAACCACGACCCTGCCGGCAATGCCACCAACACCGCCCCACCGAACATACCCATCTACCGAGGGGAGCGCATTCTCACGGTGGTACACACCACTGGCATTCAACGCCTGGCGTTCACATTCTGCAAGTGCGCAAATGCAGATTCCGAGGCTGAGCAACTTCTGCTTCGCGGATTTTATCCAGCGTCGGTGAAGCGTCCAGTCACGGTGTTCACATTTGCTTGCCTCGACGACTTCCTCCTGACAAATCAGCAATGCAAAACGTCTCCATGGAACTATCACATGAAGCTCTGTCGCGCGACCGATGGGGCATTTTGGGGCTCTGTCCAGGTTAGTACCGATGCAGCCTTATGAACGATGCTAATACGATTTAAATTAGCTGGGCTACAAGGCTCTCCTCCGCACGTCCAGGCAATACCGAGTGCTGAAGTGGAAACTTCACGCAGGCATCGGTCATGAGGAACCGAGTACCGAGATGAGGCCTGGTAGATTAGCAATAACCTGTTCTGCTTGTCCCCGACCGGGCTTCAACACACCCCCTGGCTGGGCCGGGAGTGCCGAAGCGTGAGTGTCATTACCGAGGGTTTGGCGGTTCGCTGATGAATTGCTTAGCCGCGAATATCCTGCATCAACGGCACACGACGGCAGCTTTAACTTGGAGCACATGGTTATGAAAAACCCGGAAGACGATCTACAGTTCGTTTCGGGTGAACTGTACACTGTCGACCCAGGACCGTTTGATGCACATTTGGAGGACGCACTTACAAGGGCAAAAGATGAGGTATGTCTTGACCTACCGCATTGCCGGTGCGCGGCCTCATTCCGGCAAAGCGGGTTGCCGCAACATGCAACGAGCACCGAGCCACCAAAGAGTCCCTTGGGGGCAAGGCGCATCTGGATGCAACAGGAATTGGTGCCTCTGCCTGCTCGAGGCATGGATTCTTCATTCCTCACACGGTCGTGGACTTTCAGCGCGGTGAAGCGTGAGTGATATTTCGGCAATAAACTTCGCACCGGTCCTGATATTGTCGGCAGCCAACGGAACATGGACTACTCGGTACACTGGCATGGAAGTGGTTCGCCGGCTACACAACTTTTGTCCTCATCTACGACATCGCCTGTCAGTACCACATCAACGCGCGCAAACGATTCGAAGCATCTCCGTTCCTTCAGTGGCCCATTGCCGCTACTTTCTTTTGGGCTATCGGCCAATTCCATGTTCACGGCCATCAAAATCGGTGTTATGCTCGGCATTCGCTGAGCTTCGTCCCCAACGTCGGGCACCAAGACGGTGAAGTGGTCGAAACCTTGTGGAAACCATTGAATTTTATCAAGGATAGTATTCGTGGGATGGCTACTTCGCATCGCAAAGAGGTTATCGACGCTCATATGCAAGATTCTAATTGGATGAAGCTCTGTCGTCTCCGTAGGTGTCTTCCGGAATTCACTTTCGGCAATCGGAACTCATCAGCCCGGCAGCAAAATCACTTGTCGACAAGTGGAAGGAATCAGTGGAAGAGTACACTGCAGCAAAAAAGGCCTTTGAAGACATCGACCGTGTTGCTAATGAGGAAGAGCGCGCCCAATGGAAACAAGAGATCCTCGATGCGCGAGAGGCACGCAAAACCGATCCCTCCGCCATGGACATTTTTACACCAAAAAAAATCAAACGTGAGTCCGATTTTTATCACTGCACACTTATATTCAGTGGAGCACAGCGGCGAACAAGACGCAAGTCAGGACGGCTCTCTTGAACGGTGACACAACGCACATTGTATCACTCGAGAGCCCGATCTCAGTGGACCTCCTTGCGTGGCTCTCTTTGGGAATCGGCATAGACCGCCAGAGGTAAGCTACTTTCCCATTGCCGGTTGTCGTCGGCACACCCGTCGGAAATGCTCTACCGGTATTCACACTGCCGTGGGGTGCATCCATAATGGTGATAGGCACTGGTTATGAACGCGCAGGTGTGGACGCTTGGGCACATGTATGATAATGCGTTGAGTGGAATGCCTACTAATTTGTTATGTTCAGGGTGGTCATTGCTCGATTGGTTCGGGACCTTCGGCAGAGCTCGACTGACAAGGCGAAACTGACGATTTCCGAGAAGAGGCAACGGCTGTCATCGGACATTCGGTCGTTCAATACCGAAGCTGCAAAGCATCTCCGTAACGCCCCTCCAAGGCTGGTCGATGGCCCGGCGATCTTGGCGAAGAATGGGATTCCCTGGAAGACTACGGGACTGACGCATCAGCCCCTGCGCCACAGGCAACTGAATCCGGCAGTCCGGAACAACTTCCCATTCTCATGCCGTCATCACTTGGTATTCGGTATTGCAAGGATCATGGTCTGGTGGACGTCGTCTATGCAGAGCGAGAACTCCGGAAAGGAGAGATGAATGAATGTCTCTCCGGCGTTCGCGACGGGATCGACACCAAATCCTACCTTTACTATGCTCGAGTTCGCAACGCCACTTCCGTCCGCACGTCGCTCCGGTCCTTTAGCGAGATTCGGACGGTCGACCACTCGGTAGCGAAGTATGTCCGGCTCTACATGCTCTCTCGCACCGCGCTCGCTGCCCTGTACGACCCGAACGACCCTGAAGATGTCAAGAAGAAAACGGATGATCTAGCCATCTACAAGCCCATCACGAAGTCCGATCTCACTGTCAACACCACGATCCTGGAAGCAACGACCAGGGGTGCTCGCAACAAACACCCTTCATGGATTTGGACGTTCACCGGAACATCGGAAGAGGGTTCCACCTTCTACAATGATGAAAGTAAGTTGCTCCGCTCGGTGATCATTAACACACCTGACATCTCGGTAGCCCGGCGAACAATGTGGCAGCGGGGTTATGAGCGAAAGGACCGTTGGTGGGAGAACCTGAAGGCGCTCGACCTGGAGATGCTTTGTGTGGTGCTGGATTTTGCACGCCTGAAGGAGAATTGGTTCGGCCGTGCCGTTTTCACGGCAGATTCACCCGGCCATAAGTGTTATGCTAACGGTCAAGCTCGAATGTGGGAGCGAAGGAGAAGCAGAGCGCAGAAATGTTTCGCAACGTGCGTCGCGCGCATCCCAAACCTCTCCAGTAGAGTATACCCTGTATTTTGCTGCGTACACATATCCTGCTCGGCAATGCTTGCATGTATCCGGAAATGAGCTCGGCCCTGGCATTTCCGCCAATAGGCACTTTATTTAATACCGGCATTCCCGACATCCCGGTATCCCGGTCACCAGACACCCCACAATGTATCGATTTATACCTTCCGCTACAAAGGTCTACATACATCCCATTCGAGCCAGTGATTTACAACGCCTCCATATCCTATCCCGTAATCCGACTTGCTTCTCCTCCAGTTGCCAAGGCCCGTTCCGGAACAGGGCCATGCGAGGTGTGGTTACTATCAGGCCTGGTCAGCGAACACAGATACGAAGCTGATCATCATACCATCCGTGCACGTCGCCTCTTGTGCCGTTATGAGCTCTTCGCACTCAAACGCATTGTCCTGTTCGACGAATCCGCGGATCCGCACCATTTGGCCAATATTCGGCCGTGGAAAGACCAATGCCTAGACGCATATTATCAGCGCACATACAGGTTTGGAGCGTCAGCATTACATACCACATCGTATGGGTCTAAGTCGACCTCTACCGATTCGCAGCCGTTCACCGGGCATTCCAAGTATATTCTTGCGGCAATGTCTGACATCTATGTATCAAGCGGTCAGCGGTGATCATCTCCGTGAGCAAAGTAACACTGACCTCTACCACGCGGGAAACAATTTCAACGTAGTATACACCGTTCGTGATCTTCAGGAAACACATGGTAGTGGGGGGATAGATGATGAAGTGGGACTCTGATACATCCCCTTATCAATAGATACCAGGCATATTGGCGCTCGGCAGTGATGGTTCGGTGTTACCTTCGCCCTCTGAATGCCGACAATGGGTTCCGTCGTCAATCTTCGGTGTTGATCGACTTTACGTAAATGCATTTACCCATGGGCGTGTGAGCCTGTACGAGCTCCGGTGCTGTTTTCCTCAGTGCGCGGTATTCACTGCCCGCACTGTAATAAAACCATATATTTTGTGCTGAGAACGTACGTGGCTACGTGCTACATTCATTACCGGAAATATGGTGGGTGCTCACTGGGGGAGCTCGTACGACCGTCTCAGACGGGGTACGTGCTCGTACGAGCTCCGGCAGTGTGTGCATCCCCGCGCGGTAACCACCGCACGCGCGGCCGTAAAAGCGGGCATTCTGGGCTCAGAACGTACGTGTCTATGTATTCAATACAAATGCCGCAATTCCGGTATATGCCGCTTGAGGAGACCTCGTACGACCGTCTCGTACCGGGTACAGGCTCGTACGACTACCGAGGTTGGTTCCACCGTTGCGGGACAAACACCGCACACATGGTAACACAAGCAGTTGTTAAGTGCTGCGGAGGTCTGCGGCGGTGTATTCCATGTTAGTATATGTGTTACACCATGGACTCTGTCTCGTTACTATAAAATTCAAAGCTCACGTTTCGCGCGTCCGCAGCCACACGGGCCGCGGCGCTATCTTGCTGTACGCTCCATTCTCATCCTTGACGACTCGATCGCCTCTACTACCGATCTCGTCGTCCCGTTTCCGCTCCATCCGCTCCTTAATAGCTACGCACGTCGCGGGGAGTCCCTCACTCGTTCTCGTCCCGAACTTGTGAGGTGAGCTCCCCTACATACCACGTCTAGCCCCGTTCAGTAACTGACGAGTATGCGTAGATTAACGCTACCGCGTTCATTAGGTTAGCTCACTATTGATTAACTCGTTCTCGTCCCGAACTTGTGAGATTAACGCTACCGCGTTCATTAGGTGCCCGCTCGCTCCGCTCGCTCTCGCCTCGCACCACATCGTTCCCCTCTGCTCTCCCGCTCGGCCCCGACCTTAACAGGTTATGAGCCCTGATACCACGAACAACATGTCGTTCGATGTTCCGACTTCCACGTCCAGCGGCAAGTACAGCATCCCCAAGCTACTTGCCGACAAATCGAACTGGGTGCCGTTCAAGGAGCACTTCCTTACAGCAATCGCCGCAAAGGGGCTTTCTCGTCACATTGACGGCCAACCACAGCCTCCCCTCCCTCCCCCGTACACCCGTGCCATCCCCCACAAGACCCAGAAGGTCATCGACGCCGAAACTGCCGCAGCTGCGGCCGATTCCAGTCTCCCGACGCCCGTCTCGGACCAGTACACCACCAGGACGGATGCGCAGTACCTGGAGCTAGTCGAGAAGGCGTATGAGAAATACGAGGAATGGGACCGCAAGCAGGCGGAGGTACGCACGATCCTCTACGGAACCCTCCCCGAAGATCTCTTCGTTGCGGTCAATGCCCTCCGCCCTATCTCCCTCATGTGGAACGCCGTCATCAAGGCTTGTGCCGAGAAATCCGCCATGTACGCCAACGCTATTCGCGCGCGCATGCTCCGAATGCGCTGTGTGGATGGTGGAGATGTGCGCGAGCACCTTACAAGCCTCGCGCGCGAACGCCTCAACCTTGCAGCAGTCGGGACCATCATCCCCGACACAGACTACATCGCGATGGTCATAGCAAGCATCCCGGAGTCCTACCAGCAGCGTATTCAAGTGCAGCTCGACGTTGCCAACGCGGTCGGCAGAACCCCCGACGTCGACACCATCGTCCACACCTTGCATGACGAATACGAGCGACGTGCCATCACCGCGAACAGCACTACGGACAACGCGCTATACGCAAATCAAACCGTGCGCTGCACCAACTGTGGGCGCTACAAACACACGAAGGCGAACTGCTGGCGCAAGGGCGGCGGAGCAGAAGGCCAAGGCCCGAAGGGACAGGGCAGACAGGGTGGATCGTCAGCTGGAGGAGGTACCGCGTCAGCGAACACGGCCTCATCCGAGTCGAGCAAGGAGCACGTACTGGCCACCGTCGCTGGTCTCGAGGAGCGCGCAATGGACCCCGACGACGTCGCTGTCCCCTCTTTCCATTCCCCCCGCTTCGTCGACGTCTACGACAGTGGGGCCACGCGCCACATCTCCCCGAACCGCGAACACTTTACGGAGTACAAGCCCCTCGACCGAGCTCACAGCGTCACCACCGCAAACGGCGCCGAAGCGCGTGCAGTAGGCGAAGGCACAATGCGTGTCGAAGTGCCGAACGGAAGGGGTGGTACGCACTCACTCACCCTCAGCGACGTCCTCCATGTGCCATCAGCAGCGTTTACGCTGGTCTCCCTCCGGAAGGCGGACAGCAAGGGCTACAGCTCCACCATCGCAAACGGTGTACTCTCCCTCACCCATCGCGCGACTAGCGATGTCATTGCCCACATCCCCGAGCATCACGGACTATACCAGGTCGCTAGTACCGACTACCACGCCTGTGCCGCACTCGCGGCCTCTGGGGACGCACCGTCACGTCAGCTGCTCGACGACATTGAGCTCCACCGTGTCATGGGTCACATCTCCGTCAAGGCGGCTCGCGACATGGTTGACAAGGGGCGCGTGGAGGGTATCACCATCACCGACCGGTGCGCACAACCTCAGTGCAGCGTGTGCATCTCTGCGAAGATCACTCGCGCGCCTGTCCCGAAAGCCGCAGACGGACGCGGTGCAGCCGAGCTCGGTCTACGCGTCAAAGCGTACGGGGACCGCATCGACGCGGACACCTGGGACCCTGGCCATACGTCCATTGGGGGCAGCAAGTACGCTACTCTCTTCGTCGACCACGCGACAAGGTGGCGGCATGGCGCCGTTCACAAGGCCAAGGACGGCGCCTCCCCAGCCTACCGTGAGCTCGATCGTGTCGCGGAGACGCAGTACAGCACGCGCATCAAGTGGTTCCACACCGACGGCGGTGGAGAGTTCACTTCCAACGAACTCCAGGCCTACCTCAAGGAGCGCGGAACTCGCTTCACGACATCGGTGCCGTATACTCCTGAGCAGAATGGCCTGGCTGAACGCAGTCACCGTATCGTTGGCGACCGCACCCGTGCAATGCTTCTCGACGCGGAGCTCCCGAAGTCAATCTGGCCGTACGCCTACCTCCACGCCATCTGGCTGACCAACCGCACACCATCCTCCGCGCTCAAGGGCGCCGTGACCCCTTTCGAGGCGCGTTTTGGGAACCCGCCCGACCTGTCAGGTCTACGCGCCTGGGGGACCAAGGTCTGGACCCGCACGCGCGACGCGCGCAAACTCGACGCGCGCGGGAAGCTAGGGCACTTCGTCGGTTTCAGCGAACAGTACAAGGACGCCATCCTCGTCTACTGGCCCGACAGACGCACTGTCACCGTTGAGCGGTCCTTCGTCTACGAGGAGCGCACCCCCCGTTTTCGAATTCTCGCTGGCTCCGCATAAGGGGGCGTTGGGTCATGGTCATGCGCACCCAGCTCCTAACGGAACGACCCTCCCTCAGAATCCCATTGCGGATGTGCCCGCGCCTAAAGAACCCCCTGCGACCACAGTTCCTCCCCTCGCTCTTCCCACTGCCTTCCCCACCACTGCTCCCACTCCCACTTCCCCCAGCATTGAACCCCACGCGATGGCCGAAGAAATCGACGAGTTCCATGACCTCCCGGACCTCTACCTCGACCCCGTGGAAGAACAGGAGATGCGGGAGGATGAAGAGCGGGAGAGACGGGAGGCGGAGATAAGAGCAGACCTGGATAAGGCGCATGCAGAGAGGGTGCGGCAGGCGAAGGCGCAGGAGGAACGCGACACTGCCGAGGTCAGTGACATCATCGATGATGCGGACAGCTCCGACTCGGACGAAGAAGTCATCGTCGAGCAAGCACCCCCCGTCGAGCAACTTGGGCGTGGGCATCGCGTACGCAAGCCATCGTACTACCTCCGACGCGTCGCCGGTGGCGAAGGCACCGCCAATGGCCGCAATGCACGCCTTCCACGCGGCATCGCCCCGGGCGACATCCTGGGAGTGATGACGGAAGAAAGCGAGGAGACGACGGGTGGGTGGGTCATGCTGTCACAGGAGGAGGCCGAGGAAGACTACGAAGTGGTCGACACGGCCCTCTCCCTCCAACCTGGCGACGAGCCCTCGACACTCTGCCAAGCCCTCAACTCGCCGGACGCTGAGCACTGGCGCGCTGCCATGCAGGCTGAGATCGACAACCTCCTCGAGCACGGAACGTACGAACTCGTCGAGCCGCCCAAGGGCGCACACATTATCAACTCGAAGTTCGTGTTCCGCGTCAAGCGCGACGCAGACGGCAGCATCAAACAGTACAAGGCGCGGGCGGTCGCTCTCGGCAACACCCAGCTCTACGGCCTCGAGTACGAGCAGACCTTCTCCCCTGTCGCCAAGCTCGCATCACAACGTCTCCTCCTCGGGCTCGCGGTGCAAAACAAGTGGGACGTCATCCAGATGGACGTCAAGTCGGCGTACCTCAATGGCGACCTCGACGAGATCATCTACATGCGCCAACCACCCGGCACCGCCATCGACGACGACACTCGCGTGTGCCGGCTCAAGAAGTCCCTCTACGGGCTCAAGCAGGCCGGACGCAGTTGGTACAAGGTCCTGCACGAGGCGATGCGCCAGCTCAAGCTTATGCGCTGCGACGGAGACCACGCGCTCTTCTACCGAGTCGAGGACACCTCACGTGTGTACGTCGCCACGAACGTCGACGACCTCATCATCACTGGTACGGCCGACTTCCTCTCCGAGTTCCGCGAAGGGATCAAGACGCGTTTCGCCATGACGGATGCGGGACGGCTCGCTTGGCTCCTTGGGATCGAGGTGCAGTACGATCTCGAGCGCGGCGAGATGCGCCTGTCGCAGCATCTCGCCATCGACATGCTCGCGCGCAAGTTCCGACTCGACCAGTCGAACCCCGTGGTCACTCCGTTCGCCTCGGGCGCCGTGCTGTCCAAGGCGCAGTGCCCCAACAGCGACATCGAACGCGCGGAGATGAGGGGCGTCCCGTACCGCGAGGGCGTCGGCTCGCTCATGTACATCGCGCTTGCCACCAGGCCGGACATCATGTTCGCGGTCGCGCGGCTGGCGCAGTACATGAGCAACCCGGGACGCCAGCACTGGGAGGCGTTCAAGCACGTCGTGCGCTACCTCAAGGGGACACGCGAGATGTGGCTCACCTACTCGCGCAACGGCGGTCCACTTGCGGGATACACGGACGCGGACTGGGGGACCTCAGACGACACGCGGCACTCCATGTGTGGGTATGTCTTCACCTACGCTGGGGGCGCGATCTCCTGGTCGGCGAAGAAGCAAGCCGTCGTCGCTCTGTCCACCACGGAGGCGGAGTACATCGGCATGGCTCATGCGGCCAAGGAGGGTGTTTGGCTGCGCGCGGTGATCGCGCAGATCGTTCACGTGTCCCTGCTCAAGTACCCGTCGCGGCTCTTCTGCGACAACAAGTCCGCGATGGAGCTCGCACGCAACAACGCGTACCACGGCCGCACCAAGCACATCGACATCCGGTACCACTGGATCCGCGGCGCAGTTGAGCGCGGCCAAATCGCGCTCCTGTATTGCAGCACCGAGGAGATGCCTGCCGATATGTTCACGAAGTCCCTCACGTCCACTCGTATGCGCTCCCTCCTCCTCGTCATCGGTATGCGCTCGCTTTGAGGGGGCGTGTTAGTATATGTGTTACACCATGGACTCTGTCTCGTTACTATAAAATTCAAAGCTCACGTTTCGCGCGTCCGCGGCCACACGGGCCGCGGCGCTATCTTGCTGTACGCTCCATTCTCATCCTTGACGACTCGATCGCCTCTACTACCGATCTCGTCGTCCCGTTTCCGCTCCATCCGCTCCTTAATAGCTACGCACGTCGCGGGGAGTCCCTCACTCGTTCTCGTCCCGAACTTGTGAGGTGAGCTCCCCTACATACCACGTCTAGCCCCGTTCAGTAACTGACGAGTATGCGTAGATTAACGCTACCGCGTTCATTAGGTTAGCTCACTATTGATTAACTCGTTCTCGTCCCGAACTTGTGAGATTAACGCTACCGCGTTCATTAGGTGCCCGCTCGCTCCGCTCGCTCTCGCCTCGCACCACATCGTTCCCCTCTGCTCTCCCGCTCGGCCCCGACCTTAACATTCCATGCGTTGCTGGAGATAAATTGCGTGCTGGCCTGAGGGCCCCGAGTACGGGCCAGGATGTTGAGTCTGAGGAAGGATGGCCTCGGTAATGGCGGTGCAGGGCAGCACAGTGCTATTTGCATTGTTTGTGGTACCGATTACTACTTCTTTACACGTAGGGAAGCTGGGCGAGGGCTCTATCTACGAACGACAAGTCTCCCACCCTGACAACTCGTACGACCGTTACCGACGGCTACATTACTGGGGCTCGTACGAGGTCGTATGGGCGTTACCGACGGCGACGCGGGCACCTCGTATGGGCGTTACCGACGGGCTACAGCACTGCCACCGAGTGGCTTGGACTCGACGGTACGAGCGTTGTCCGTCTCGTTCTGCGAGAACGAATGGTCCATCTCGAGCGCAAGCGCATGCGGCACATTCTCTGCTTGGACGGGATGTGAGCGTGGGATGTTGGTGTAGGGACGTTGGGCACCTACCTCGGACAAGGTCACATTCGACTGAGACCAGGCGACCTCGCGCGTTTAGGGTGAGGTGAGGCCAAGGGACGGATGATTCGACGGCGACGGTGCCGTCTGGTGCGCCCCTGTTTGAACGCGGCTGATAGCAGGACGTGGTTAGCAGGTAGGACGGACGTCGGTAGGGCATAGACGCGGTAGAACGAAGGGGTCTGAACGGTGGGACAGACGGAGGGGGAGTCTTGGGTGGGAGAAGGGCTGGGAGGATGAGAAGGTAGGTGAACGCGTACGGGTGATCGGCCGCGAGCACGCTCTGGTCTGCATCCCGCTCCGGGAGTCCGGGACAGGTAAAACGACGGGCATTGGGAGTGGAGGTACGCGTCCTGATTGGTTTGCACACGCCCGCTAACGGGTTCGTGCACGATAACGCCTGGTGGTGGGGGGTGCGTCGAGGGCCGATCTTGTTGATTCCTTACATTATCTTATCTCATATGATGCAGCTCGAGGACGGACGTCCGATACTGGCCATACCTATTTTAGTTTAGTTGGTACTGTACAGTTCCTCGGCTCTCTCCGAGACGCCCCGGCACAGCGCTCGCTCGACCGCTCGCCCATACCTCAGTCGCTATTGTCCCCGACTGAGGTATGTTTCTATTCATATATTGTTCCTCTATTTCTGTACTTACGTATCTTGTACCTAGCTCGCACTCACACTGTGTGTCGTTAGGTACAGCAATCCAGTCGCTATTGTCCCCGACTGAGCTCGCACTCACACTGTGTGTCGTTAGGTTATGAGCCCTGTCCGCGTCTAGACAGAGCGAGCTCACCTACACGGCGGACTATACCCGTGATCAAATACGCATCACGAAGAGGAGCTGTCCAGCTCCTGAATGCCCAAATCCGACCCGGATCCAGACCCCACATCCACTCCACCGAGTCCCGGTCCGATGGCAGGTTCTTCTGGCGCCGGATCCTCGCCGGACGCGTGGGTCATCCCTTCAATGTCCGGTTCTCTCCCCACGACGCATCCGCTCACCGGAGAAGAGACTTACACGCCATGGTCGAAGAGGATGACAGCTGCGTTCCGACATGCCGGAGTTTGGGAGGTTGTCCAAGGCAGCACCCCAAGATCGACCAGCGACACTGCGCAGGCCGCCGAGTGGGACCGGAAGAACAATGCCGCAT